GGGGGGGGGGGGGTGGGAGGGGGGACAGGAGTGGATTGGATCCACCTAGCCTCCACATATGCTTTCAACTTGCCGTAGATGGGGGAAGGGGTAAAGGAGACTACGATCAGACAAACCGCCCGACTCACACTCACCCCCCTAACAAAACCCAAACTCATTTACCCCCTCCTGGGAAACACCTCATATCGGACAGTGTCCAAAAGCGTGACTCGGCACTTAATTAACGGCAAGATGGCTGTTCCTGCTGCGATCGGTGTAGCGGCAATCGCTGTCCTTTATGCAGGGAAAAGATACTTGCAAGGCCCCAAATGTAACAGCAAAAGAGGCCTAGACGGCAAGACTGTTGTTATCACAGGTGGAAACACTGGTATAGGCAAAGAAACCGCAGTGGATTTAGCCAGGCGAGGAGCGAAGGTCATAATCGGTTGTAGAAACCTCCAAAAGGGTAAAGAAGCACTGAAAGAAATTAAAGAACGCAGTGGAAACTCCAATGTTTTCCTTGAAGAGATAGACCTGGCTTCGTTAAAGTCTGTTCGCACGTTTGCCGACAAAATTCTAAACAGTGAATCCCGCCTCGATGTCCTCATCAACAACGCTGGAGTGATGATGTGCCCATATCAGAAGACTGAAGATGGATTTGAAATGCAGTTTGGTACGAATCATCTTGGGCATTTCCTGCTGACCATGTTACTCCTTGACCGACTGAAGCGTTCACAGCCGAGTCGAATCATAAACGTGTCTTCGTCTGCTCACAGGATGGGAAGTGACAAGATCAACTTCGCAGACATCAACTTCGAAAAAAGCTATGACAGCTGGGCCGCCTATCATAACAGCAAGCTTGCAAACGTGTTATTCACTCGCGAGCTGAGCAAACGCCTGGAGGGCACCCATGTGACGGTGAATGCACTGCACCCGGGGGTTGTCACAACCGAGCTTCAACGCCACATGTTTTTGTCTAGTAGTCTGTTCTATCCGATCCGCTGGTACTTGTTCAAGACCGCAGAACAGGGAGCACAGACCTCTATTTACTGTGCAGTCTCTGACGAGATGGAAGGTGTAAGTGGAAAATATCTGCGAGATTGCGCCATTGTGAAGGAGTCCAAGGGTGCTCAAGATGATGAAGCAGCCAAGAAGTTGTGGGATCTGAGCATTAAGATGGTTGGTTTGGAAAAATAAAGCTGAACGGAATCTCCTTTTATGACATCTTTCCATAACTGATTTTCAAAACCTTTTGCTTTTACTACTATAAGGTCACTAAAAAATTTATGAACATTATGAACTCTCCAAAATACCAGAAAGTCCAGCAAAAATGACGTTAAAGTAGTTCTGTAGCCGTTTCCACCTACTGTACCATGTTTTTACCAACGTTTATGATCCCCAAGAATTATAAGTTACACGTAAGACAACCTGAGACGAATAGAAAAAGTGGCTAGCATTTGTATTTGGAAAAATTAAAAAAAAAACCCAGTCATTTAGTGATATTTACGGCACATGTAATGATATTAGTTTGTAGAAACGAAACCGATGATTGGGAAGTGTGACAATTAATAATGTCTATTTAACTTGAATTTGACAATAGACAATCTGAACTGTCTGGCTATTTAGTGTTGTGTTATTTATTACTAAAAGTGAGTTCAGGAACTTTTGATTAGGAGGCTGCAATGTTAAAGTGGAAGACCTCTTTCAGTTGTTAATTACCCTGTCCACGGATGTTACTCTTTCTTTCTCTTTTTTTCGACAATTCGACAGCGCCCGAGCTAAGAAAAGGAAAAGAAGAGGTTTATTATAACCCCCGCCACCAGCCTTGCGAGTGCGGTCAATAAATCCTCCGCGGTTTTTATTTTCTTACGCGCGCTCGACGATCTCTAACTAAGGGCCTGTTTACATGGAGGTGGGGGACCCCAGGTAAGTAAGGTAACCCGTTTCGGTGGGGTAACCCGCCACATGTTATCTCACCTATCTGGAGTCCCCCACCTCCATGTAAACAGGCCCTAAAAGGGAAAACAGAGGGTCTGCGAACAGGCTAAATTATGACAAGTTGAATCAATTCCGGCTACCGTGGGAAGTAAATTTCCAAGTTTGAAGTACCTAACTCCCAAACCGTTACTTGACCATGAACAGTTTTCCTTTTTTTTACTACGGATATTAGTAAGGAAAAAAAAGTGAGAAAAATATTTCTGCAGCTCTCAAAGCATTTCATGGATGTGCGGAGTGAAATGAAGAAAAAAGGGGAGAGCAACTTTCTCTCCGTGTGGTGTAGTGGGTAGACTGGAAAACTAGTTCAAGAGTCGACAGTAATAATATCCAGCGGTTTCAACAAAGAATACAAAATGGCGGCTCGACAAGGCTTTCGCGTAAGAAAAGTGCACCTTTCTCTTGTACAGGAACGTCAAACAAATTTAAACCTTAACCAATTTTTGTCTTTTTAGGTAATCTCCAGGTTATCTAGAGGGATTCACACCTCTTGCCGAAGGCAGTTTTTGATTCCTATGGTCATCGAACAGACGGTATAAAACATTCTTATTAACGTATGAAAGTGCAAAGTTACATCATCGATGTAGGGATGATGGATATATAGTCACACAAAAGGGGGTAAATAACATAACCACATTTTCTGTGGGATACAGAACAAAAACAGTACCATTTCTGATGGCTTCTAAGAATAAATGTTAATTTTATTAGGGGAACTCTAGGCAGGAATAATTTTCTGAAGGGCTCGGGAAAAACTCCTCATCAGTGGAGGTACGGGTAAGGAGGGGTCGAAAAATTAAGTGCAACGACCCTAGGAGATGATAGAATTTGGATCTATGTGACTGCGTGATGCAGTTCAAAACCCACATTTGATTTCACCCTTGCACACCATTGAGTCTCCAGTAGTTCAGTGGTCAGAGCGACTGGCTAGATCACAGGGAGTCGTAAGTTCAAATCACGTCGAAGGTTTGGTTTTTCCCCCTTGTTTCCATTTGATGCAAAAATGTATCATGTTGGTGTACTTCTACAAACGACTCGCTTGGTGGTTGGATGGTTGCATCTATGATATGCCGTAATGTGACTGTGTTATGAGTCATATGTACTTGTACTGATTTGACGATGTGACTGCTTGTTATAGTTCTAGTCAAAGACTGACATTTCACCCTTGCTGGTCCTCGAGAGTGCAGTAGCTCAGTGGTTCGAGCATCCAACTAGATCATGGAAGGTCATGGGTTCGAATCCCATCTGGGGCTCAAATTTATTTTCCAAGTGTCTATTTGGTGCAAAAATGTAATTATCATGTTGTTATAAATATCATTCGTATTCTAAATTTAATACATTCTTCTTTCCAGGGCAGAGGTGAAAGAGCATATGACATTTTTTCTCGTCTTCTTAAAGAGCGGATAGTGTGTGTCATGGGGCCTGTAAGTAACTTAGTTAAGGCCATTCTCTGCTATTTTCTGGCGTGGAGGGTGCTGGAATGTCACTATCTTTCCTTGAAGCAAGCATTGGGTGATCCCACAAACCTTCTCAGGATTGCTTATGTTTAAAAGTTTTGTTTACTCTTGTAGACATAAGGACAAAGTAGATGCCCAACAGCAAAACAACTGATCAGATGAAAATATGTCTGGAATGTCGATTTTGTTGCACATAATCTTTTAATCTTTTTGGGGATATTATTTTACAGATAACAGATGAAACGTCTAGCCTTGTAGTGGCTCAGCTTCTCTTTTTACAGTCAGAGAATGGTCGCACTCCTGTCCATATGTACATCAACAGTCCAGGTACGAATGACACAGAAGTAACCAATTTCCTAATGTGTTAACTTGCCTTCTGACTTGGTGGGCAAATTACTGATCTTTCCTTACCATCTTTTTCTTAATTAACTCAACAGGTGGCTCTGTCACAGCAGGCTTGGCTATTTATGATACAATGCAGGTTGGCATCTTACATAATTATATTATGATTCTCTTAAGCTACCATGCAAAGACTTGAAAAGTGTCTCCTATTTTAGTTTCAATTCATTTGGTACAAAGTACCTTAGCGATAACAATGTTTTTATGTTCCCTGTTGGTGATGGAATTACCATTTCATCATGGTCATCCAAGCCACAGATAGGTGTAATCTTTTACCACTGGAACAGCCAGTTGCCGCTAATTATTGGCCTTAGCCTGTACACAGACGTTTTGTTTTTCTTTTCGTTCATTTCGATGAACGAGCAAGGAGCACGAGAAAGATAATATATATTTTCTTCTTCCCCCAGCACTACCCCCTTGCACTGGCGGTCAGTAAATCCCCCTCAGTTTATATTTTATCATGGGTGCTCAACGGACATTGACGAGAAAATAGATGGTCTGTGAACAGGCTATATTGGCCTGGACCTTTGACATTTCACACCAATGTTCTATTAACTGAACTAGCCTGCTTTTGTTACAACAACAATCTGTGTGGGACTGAGGAAATTTGTGCCTAATATCCACTTGAAAAGTGAACTACACTGGTTATATAACAGTAGGTATTTACTAGCAGTAATATTGCTGTGATTCCTTTTTTAGTACATTCAGCCTCCTATCTCTACATGGTGTATAGGACAGGCCTGTAGCATGGGATCACTGTTGCTAACAGCTGGTACTCCAGGTCTTAGGCACTGCTTACCTAATTCCAGGGTGATGGTGCATCAACCACATGGTGGAGCTCGGGTAAGAATCTCAGATTCCTGACATATTGTGAAGTAGTACTTTTCAGAGGGTTTGGGAGCCAAACAAGTATATGGCAAGTTTGTTCACAGATAAGAAGACTAGGGAGATACATTATTACATTATATTTACCACCAAAACCACTTGTTACAACAAGTTTGTTTTATAGCAGCAGAACAGCAGTTTTTCTCTC